AAGACAGACAAAAACGGAAGTCGGGTGAAGAGGTTATGGATTTTTAACGGAGTTTTCCAGTCCCGGCCTGTTAAACATATAATATTGAAAATAAATTCAAAATTAGCCGACGAAGTCTAAACAAGAGTTGTAGAGTATTTTCTCACCTACACGTGGATATAAAGAACATCAAAATCGGAGCTCGTACGCAAAAGGTATTTTAATAAAGTTTTAAACCCTTTTGTAACATGTAGAGAAAAAGGTATTTTTCCTCAAGTTATTTCATTATGTTATATAAACTGTTTAACTACTAAGATTCCACATTACATTCATAACATATAAGTAAATTATAATAGGTATAGTTTAGGGTACAGTAAAACTATTTTACTAAGTCATGGTTATCGTACTAAAAGGATTATTTAACTATAATTATTGTACACTACTAGTACAAGATAACATATACATTTTCAAGTACAAAAGAACACTAATATTCTCTACATATCTAGTTATACAAGGTTGTGAGTCCCTATCTAGTTGTACCCATTAGGGTATAGCTTAACGTCCTATCATTAATAACCAGAGTCTCCTGGAGAGAGAGCTTGAATTTTTGTATAGATCTATACGGGACTGACAATCCCGCACCTCGCTGTTAGCTACAGTGGGACCAATAGGTCCATGGGTGACAAATGTCATACCAGCTTTTCGACGTTTACAATACGCCGTATTTTATACTAGTCAGATTTAGTATGGTTATGGGAAACTCACACTGGTATTAACTAGGGCACTACACTACACTACTACAGTAGTACATGAACATACATTTTAGAAGGGATCTATAATGCTAATTCTATGATTTGTTAGGTTATACATCAGGTTTATATATAAGTAGGACCCAATAGACAGTAGAATGTGTGCCTTCCGCTTCATTTCCTGTTCCTTGTTTGGTTGTGGGCTTAGAGCAAATACACATAGTTTACTATCTATTCGATCTTGGTTATATGTATAACTCATATACACTAATAAATCATAGGAGGAATCAGGTATAGGTCAGGTCTATACATATACAAGAACAAAAGGAACATACATATACATATACAAGAACACTACACTATTTTCTAGTACAAAACATACTTTTTGGAAAGAACGATTCACTAGGTGCATACATATACAAAAGATTGCATACAAATTCAATGGCACTACATTTCTTACTAAGTTAAATGAAGATATCACTCAAAAGGTCCAACGTTGTTAATTCTAAAATTACCTAGTGCATACAACAGGGTTATATACAATGTAGATCCGACAAATAGTGGAATGTGTGGCTTCCGCCTCATTTCCTGTTCCTTGTTTGGTTGTGGGCTTAGGGCAGAACCACACAATCGGTTATCCGTTCGATATATAGTGTATATAACTTGTATACACTAGGTAACTACAAAAGGAACTATTATGGGTCACATTTTATTACATCAGGAAATATTGGATTTTCTGGAGGAACAAACTAAGGTTATCAAGGAACATACTAAGGTTTTCAAAGAACAAAGAACGTATCTTCTAAAACAAAATACTTATGAACTCACCAACTTAAATGTTGATACACTTTCAAAATCACTTGTATTCTCAGGAAACTAATAGACAGGTGCGCTCAGGGATTCTAGAAGACGGAGCATAATAACTTCTTGTCTTTATTTTCTGCTATATACTTTTGTTGTCAATCATATATGATTAAAATACAATGTAAACACTATACTATTAATGCAATGGATGTTGTTTCTTGTTTTACTATTCTACAATTGTTGTGATACTATACATGACGCCCTCCGCCCCCGAATGTTTCCCCCATCTCGGTTTGGGGGTGTGACGCCTTGTTTCCTTGATACAAACCGTAAACCTAATTCATTTTGATGAGCCGCCACCATTTTGGAGTCCTCTAGCCGCCGCCCCTCCGTCGTTGAAGTTGGAAGCCGCCGCTGCACTGCTGCCGATGAAGACCGAACCGTCGAGGAACACGTCGCGGTTGCCGATGTTGTTGTTCTCGGTCACGCAATGCTTCTTCCCTCCGACTCGCCGTCTGCCATGCCACCAGCATCGTCGGACGATAGCCTTGCAGTCGCTGGTGCCGTCTGTTGGCGCCGCCGTTGTCGTTGTTTTGTTCAACCGTCCATTCACCGTCCTTCTGCCACCGCCTTCCTCCAAGAATGAAGTGCTGCTGCTCAGTGGGTGATTTCGCTCGTGTGTGTGTGTGTGTTTCAGTGTAGCTTGACGGGTGCTGTTGGCCGCAAAGCAAGAGGACCACCATGGTGGCTGCCGTCATTTCTAATTTTCTGCTGCCACCAGCCGTCGTGTTGGGTGGTTGTGTGCATGAGCTAATGTGTATGTGTGCTTTTCTACATAAAATAATGTATTGGTTGCTTGTTTTCGGATTTTGACTCGAAAACCACAACCATTGCCGCGAGGTGGTGGCTGCGGTCGTCGACCACCACCGCCCGAGGTGGCAGTGGGTGGTGCCCCGCCTAGTGAAACCCTAGTTGACCTAAAACTTAATTTTGGACCTTATGACATGTTCTTGGGTTGGCAACCCTAATTAGGGTTTAGGAAACCCTAATTTTGGAGACTTTAGTTTGGAATTTGTCGGGGCCTGTGTTGGACCGTTGGATTGGAATTATGAATTATGCCCGACCACATTGTATGATTGACCTGGTAGAATGATGGACTTAATGGATTAATTCTTTAGTGGGTTAAGTGTTCTCACTTAACCCTAATCGTCATTTTATGTGAAAACCCTAATCATGTTTGGGCTTCGAGTTGGGCCTTTCTTTTTGGGCTTAGGTGTTTGGGTTCTTGTTGGTCCATCTGAGAACAAGTGTATGGACTAGGATATTTGGATGGGCTTTAGGGTAAGGCCTAAGTAAGGGGTTAGGGCCTAATTTGGAAAATTAGGCCATATTTGGCCCTTGGTTGATTATTTGGCTTTTGGGCCTCCAGAGTTTGAGTTTGGGCCTTGGTTTTGGACCAAGTTAGGTTAGGGGTAAAACAGTCTTTTTACCCCAAGTATGGATTTATGGTTATGCATTGGTACCTAATTGTTAATTGGGTGTTGTTTTGATGTTTGACAGTTTGGGAATATGTCAGCCAGCAGTCGGGGTTTGTCTTTGTGATTCGGCAGTGTGAGGTGAGTATTCTCACTATATCCATGGGTCGAAGGCACCCATGTCGGACCATTACTTGTTATGTGGAATGCTAGTTGTATCTGTGATACTTGCATGAAAGACCATAGGGGGAGCTCATGGCATTTGGATATAAGACCATGGGGGGAGCCCATGGCATTTGGATATAAGACCATGGGGGGAGCCCATGACACTTGGATATCAGACCATGGGGGGAGCCCATGGTATTCCTGGTAAAGACCATGAGGGGAGCCCATAGCAACTATATGTATGTCACATGATATTCTGTGGATGGTATTTTGTGAATGATATTTTGTGGTTGTATGCTCTGTGGTATTTTGGTGAACTCACTAAGCTTTATGCTTACGATTTTCAGTTTATGTTTCAGGTACTCTGGTTTTCAAATGGAAGGGCTCGGGTTGATTGCAGAGCACACGCCACATGTTTCCGTCTTCTGTGAATTACTCTGATTTGTCAATGTTTTGTTAAAACTCAATTACTCTGGTTTTTGTGGGAAAGACATGTATTAATGATTTATTAATCTAAAAACCAAAAAATTTTATATCATGATTTTTGGGGTGTTACCATATTGATACCTCAACAACTCATGATTGAGTTTGATGCAATCTGCAAAAGGGATACCAAACTTCATGATGGTGCCTTTCATGAAGTTCTCAAAGCCACACAGGTATATGATCGAATAAGCACACAAAAACAACAAATCACCATGCATTCGATTGACCTTCTGTTTTTTTTTTTAACTAATAGGAAGCAATAGTGTTGCATCCATGGGTTGCACTTGTGATTTGTCTCAGACCTAGTGTTTGGGAATATGTAAGCGTAAATGTAGAGACATTGGTAGTTGAAGAATTAACTGTTCATCAGTATCTTCACTTTAAAGAACTTGTTAATGGATTGTAAGTATCGTTATCCTTTCACTAATGAATTCGCCTTTTTCCTTTGTTTCTTTCGCACATGTTTACACCATTTATGATCATAGTATCTTCACTTTAAAGAACTTGTTAATGGATTGTAAGTATCGTTATCCTTTCACTAATGAATTCGCCTTTTTCCTTTGTTTCTTTCACACATGTTTACACCATTTATGATCATGTTTTGCCCTGCAATATGTAAAAAACAATTTTGTCCTTACATGTATTGCATATGATCATATTTAACGGGCCAAAAGTAACAGAGCTAGCCATAAAGATAATCCATTAAAAGTTTCAAACCATGGGGATCATCCTTGTAGACAAAATAAATAAATATATTGTTAAGGACCAGACTTGATTTTTTTTAGAAACCACATCTAGCATTTTTAAAGATTTTTCTTTATTAAATGAAAGCTTTTGCATTGGAGAATGCGTGAAGATGTGTTTTTTTTAAATAAAATTGGTTGGAAGTTGAAGAGGAAAAAAGAAAGTTACTTAATGGTTAACCATTGTGGATTGTTCCAAGAGTTTTTTTTGGTTCATAGAATGATTAGAAAGTAAGTGTACGTGAGAAGAAATGAATTATAGAAAGAAAAAAAAAATCACAATCTATCAAATTATAGTTGGGAAAAAAGAGCAAATACGAAAAACAATAATAGAAATTATTGGAGTTTTAAAAATGTAAATATATAACTTCATCACATTATAGGTACTTACTATAAAATAATATGATGATAATTTATAATTATTATTATTAATTGCAAAAAAAATATCTAACAAGGATGTTTTGGTATTTCACTATTTTAGCAAGACCCTTCCGCAGAATGGCACAATCAAACATAATTCACATACGTCTGACAATGGAATTAACTGACTCCATTTCGGCAACCAACACAACATGTAATGAAATCTCAAATTCCAAATAGTCGGATTCCCACAGAATCTGCCAACCGAACATGCCAAAGCCAAATGGGTGCATAAAACTATAGAAGCTAAGAACAAACATATCAAAAGTAGGTTCAATGTTAAAAAGGCTAACAATACCAAATGAAACAGAATCACAATCATGATAATCCCAAAATCTTGTAATTTCTCATATAAGGAACATCATCACTTCCTAAAGCCGCTTTGGGGGATTTGTATCCAACTGCTGTGCGTCCTCACACTCCAACTTTCTCGCACCTGCCTTCCCAAGACCCGCAGTCTCCTTTGGATCTGTGTTCAGCATGTCATCATCCCGGCTGCATCAACAAACAGTTATCAGTTGGCTTTTTTCGATGTTGAAGATGAGAAGGGCACTTATGTTTTTTACACTGACAAGAGATTTAAGTACAAGTCTTGATCCCACCTTTTTGTGTGGACATAAAATTGAAAACTTTTTGCAACAAACATCAGTCACAATCACAATCACACTTGGTGTAAGACACGAGTTGACATCAATGTAAAATTAATGACACGAGCCTGAATCTATAATACGCACATAGACTTCATGCTAATAGTTGACGGTGCTTGTCTTGTCTTTTTCAACTAGACGGGCAATTTTGAGAAATAATGTAGAATTGGGTCAATTTGATTATATTTTTTCCCAACGGGCCAAAAGGGTAAAACTAGAATTTTACCTAGGAAAGAGCTTGTTCAAGTTAAAACAAACTCATTGCATGCTCCTAAATTGCTATGTTAAAAAAAATCAGATCACTAACTTCCACAAGATAGAGCTATGACAAGCCGTGGTCCGGTCCCTACTAGTTTATAGCAGGAGGGCAAAACAGTCAAAAGGATGAGCATTTCTGGAGAGAAATGGTCCCAGGGGTATTTCAGTCTTTTATCTATTTATTTTCCTATAGAAGAGCCTGCAGCCCAGCTTTGAGGAAACATTGGTTGGCAGGTGCTGCAGGCTTTTTAGCCTTTTTACCAGTATTTAGACTCTGTGTCTAGGTTGATAGAGGATGTTGATTTTTGTTATTGCATTAGCAAGTTTGGAGAGTTCCCTCCTCTCAAAAGAAGGGGCATTATCTTATTCTGATTCTATGAAAGTTACTATCATTTTCTAATTCATTACAAAATTTTCTGGTTTAGTTCTGTGCCTATCAAGCTAGAGGGGCAATTTTGACCATTTCACATAGGTATAAGTGGAAAACACTTGCCTTGGGCAAATTCGACACGTTATGTGAAGCGGATCAATTTGGTTATATTTTATTAGTAACAAGTCAAACGGGTAAAACTAGAAAAACATACCTACAAAAGGATATTGTGGTTGAAAAAATCTACCCAATTATAGAGGTGAAAACTGCTTGTATTTTGGATGATACTGCTAGAACTAGGTAGGTTTTTTCAAAGTACAATGTTGTAATAGGGCGAAATGAAAAAAAGGATGCTATATCGCTATTTAGTGGATGACACTTACTTTTCCCGTTTCAGCATCCGGGAGATCAACTTCAGTAGCATCCATTTTTGAGTCTTCTTGCACGGGATAAGCTGCTAGATAAGCTTCTCTTACTTTATCCAGACTGTACAGTTCAGACATGAGGTTGTAAAATCGAACCAAGTATTTGTACTTTTTTGAGTCCCATTTCTTACCAGCCCCTGCAGACAGCAGCAAATTTAGCATTTCTTTTTTTAAACATGTGGTTGGGACGGGTCACTACATTTTGGACTGTTTTTAGCTCTCAAGTGAGCAATTTTAGCATTTAGGATGCACTTTTTACACTAGGAAAGCTTTCTCAGGCTATTTTCAATGACAAGAAAGAGGAGGGCATTCACATCTTTTGCACAAACGAATGCATTGGGGAGGGCATAATCAATAGATTTACCTGCAAGGTAGGACCACAGAACAATGTCGGCAAGTGACAATAGATCACCAACCAAGAAATCGTGATCCTGGAGCTGGTGATCAAATTGCATGCACGCCTTGTCAAAATCCAAATCAGGGCCAGAAAAACAAGCATGGACACGCTGGAGACAATGAAAAAGCTAGGAAAAAAAAAAGGATCAGCACAACAAATTTCCTAATTCTTGAAACAAACACAAACTTCACAACATGTGGTTGTGTGCTTTAAAGTGCAAAAACTTTTAGAGAGAAAGAGAAAAACATGAGAAGAAGAAGAAGACATTCACCTCCCTAGTTTCAGCCCTGCTAATGCTATCACGGTCGTACAACTTGTCAACAACTCCTATATGACAAAAGTACCGAAGGATCTCGTCTACCTCTTCCACGTTCAGGCTATACCAAAACTTTATAGTTAATACAGACTGAATATTATTATTATTCACAGTTTACCTATCAAGTGATTCTCAGATGTAAAACAAATTCATATCAAGCATTTCTTAGATGTAAACAAATTCATATCAATCTTTGATTGAAGAGACTTTATTTAACTCCCATTATCAAAAGAAAACAAGTTAGGAATGAATCGCAATACGTCTCGCAGGGTAGGATGATAAAGGGCGGCATGCCGGACTTGAGTTTGGCTCTGACAGTGACAATTATCTTTCCAATTGAAGCGGTTGCAAACACTGACAAGGGTGGCGTGTAGTCGCTGGCTATCCGTAGCATCACCTCCCTCGCCATTCGGTTTTGTAACTCGTTAACCTAGGAAAAGAAGAGAATGGGAAAATTAGGCCACAAATAGGGTACTTGTAATCCGATTGATTAGAATTATTTTCAGGTTTTCATTATCATATTACTTCTTTTTGTTGTTACTATAACTTTAAATTGAACTTTCAGTTATAACCTTACATTGAACTTTAAATTGAACTTTCAGTAAATTTAATTTTGTTATATTCATTAAAATTGGTTGTGATAACAATCACATTCAAAATCATTAAAACTAATGAATTGATTCATCCAAGGGGTAAGGTTTAACAAATAAGAAACTTTCTTTAACAAACATTTACACATGGAGTTTATATAGTTGATATCTTTCAACAAAATCAATCCTACAAAAATGAACTCTATATCTAGGTTGAATCAAACACTTGACATGGCTGATACCATTCAGAAGGTCATATCTGACTCGCACCAAACAAATTTGTGAGAATTAATCTCAGAGACATAAGCATACATCCTCAACTGTCTGGTTACAGACTTTCTACGTACTTTCAGTATCTAAAAAACTGTATAAAATAAATAACTTATCGGCTTTATTTTTTTATCAAGAGAGTGGAAACAACAATATTCATGTTTGTTGGTTATCATTATTTGAATTCCTAATGGGAAAATCATAGAAAGCTGCATTATGCCAGCCAGACCCTAAGCTTTTCATGGACATTGATAGTATTTGAATACAGATGTTTTTTAACATGCTTCAGAAATTTTATTAATGTTGGTAACCTGCCTTATAATCATACATGATACATGTTTTTGATAATTTAATTGGGGCATAATGGTTTTTTCTTATTCAATTACTATTATACTATGCAAATTACAACACCTAGCTTGCCAAAATTGACAGATTCTACACCACATAGCCATTTTATTCAATAGATAGGCATTCAATAACTATTCTGTAAGATACAAACCCTAGTTTGCCAAAATTGACTGGGTATATTACAAATATCCCTTAACCTTCTACTTTATTATGATTTGTTTTATGGGGCTTTAGCCTACCACATGGACAATCAGTAGAAACAGGTACAGGCAGCCTGATTGCTTTCTTCTCCGGCCAACTTTGTATCGAGGAAAAGTATTTTTGTTACTTATACATGAGATTTCTTTATGTGTTTTCGCGCATAAAAACATACCAGCCGATTATTAATCAAAACCAATCCAAAAATGTGCTTATATTATAAACCCTAAAGAATCAAAGACGCGCAGTTTTTCAAAACCTACAATTAAACCCAATTGCCAGTTTCTGAAAGATCAAAAGCAATCCGCCATCGATGCGCATAATGAAGAAAAGAAAAGAAACACGTACCTTTCGTGGCCAACGAAAGCGAACAATGAAAACGGGGAAGAAGAGCAGACGGGAGGAAACGGTGTCGTAGAAGAATCCGTGACGAAATTAAGACCGAATTTATTGGAGCAAAGTCGGACCTCTATGCAGAATTTCATTCATATATATCTTTTTGAAACTTTAAATATTATTTCTATATCCTTATAAATTTTAATATTAAAATTTCTTATAAATTTTAATATTAAATTTTAATATTACATATATCCAAATTCACAATTTAACCGGATTTAAACTGATCAATTATTAAAAAACTTATGTAGAAATCAAAATTTCATATGATTGTACTAAAATTACCTTTTTAAATAAAGATTAACATTCAACTAATAATATCTGCCACTAACCAAACCTCAAATAGTCAAACTTCTTATATTAGACAATGTTAGATATGAAAAAAAAAATACTTTTGAAATGAGTTAAAGTCACTTAACAGGAAATAATGGTTGGATTCATCGAATGTCATCGGTGTTTATTAACGTCGAGTAAATATCATAACCCCAAGCTTATACAATTATGAGAATCATACGTGCCCTACGGACTTTGTTTTTTATGTTATTTTCTCAATTTTATACCATAATTTAATTTATTAAAAATATCATTAACATTATTGTAAGATTAAACACTTGTTACAATTAGCAAAATGAAGAATAGGAGGTTTAATAGCGGCAATAGGTTTAATAGTGTTCAGCCGACATTTGAAACGTATCTTCGATGAGGAAGAAATAGTTTAATAGCGGCAATAGGTTTAATAGTGTTTAATTATATTTAATCCCAATTGAATTCTCAATTGGTTTAATGTTATTTCGATAAGGGTATTTCCGTATAAACATATAAATTTTTTATTTTCAAATAAGTTTTGTAATATTAAAATAATTAAACCTAATTAAATTATGAGTTTGGATATATACGTGAATTTTATAGTTTGAGACGGATATATATATATGTAATTTTAAAGTTTGTAAGGATATAGAAGTAATATTTAAAGTTTCTAAGGATATGAATGAAATTCTCCCAACATAAAATTGTGGGGAAAAGATATGTATATTTAAAACATAAATATGAAATTACCATATTATCACGGTTTAACCTTGTCACACCTCTAACATAAAATTAAATACAAATTAATTTAGGACCAACCATTTGGACCTTGGACCGTACGTATCTATCTATCTGTAACGACGTGAAATTTTCAAACAAAATTTTCATTTTTAAAACACATTAAATTCTCATTTCACCATCTCAAAACACAAGTATCCAAAATCATATCACAATGTAATTCACAATCCCAGAATAATGAAAACGGTCACACCCCCGAACCAGACGGCGGAAACGTCTGAGGGCTCGTGTGACTAACAATTGAATAATCATCACAATGAATATACATGAAACATAACACATTCATCACCAATATTACATAATACAATCAGCATTGTTCACATCAAGTACATTGTGACAACCCGAAATTTTTTGCTTTAAAAGCCATTCAATTCAATCAAAGTCAGACTCGCTCCTGCTATCTTTTAGCACTGTTTAGAGTCTATTTGAGCATTCTGAGCTTAGTACACCAAAGGAATCAGTATTTGGAAGTCTCAGTTTAAGTTCTAAACTATCTAGCAAACCGTAAACCTCCTCAAAAGGAGTTTACGGTCAAGGTGGCCGAAAAACTCCATGCTATATATTCAAACCTTAGTCATTTTCAATCACTTTTACCATTTAAAGCCAAAGAACTCATTCTCTCTCAAGTATCATCCGACTTTTCTCTTAGATCTTCAAGATTGTAAGTATTTCTTCCCTTGATTGGTGGATATCCTTCTATATCTAGTGATTATACATGATTTCATCCATGAAATCTCTTCATTTTGATAGATCTTCAAGTGTTCTTCATTTCACCAAGAACACACACTAGTGTTCTTGGATCCTAATCACCCTTACAAGCTTCTAATAAGTAAGTACACTACCCTTAGCTTAATATATGCTTGAATCACTAGTTAAGCACCTTGAAAACGTCATACAAAATCAAAGGACCGTCAAGTATCAATCTACCTTTAATGAAGGTAGAATGCTCCTTACAAACAAGAGAATTAATCACCAAATCCAACCTGTTGGCTAAAATCGTATCAATAATATTATACTGGCAACCAATAAGGCTTATGGGACGAAAGTATTTGAGAACCTTAGCATCGTCCACCTTTGGGATAAGAGCAATATGAATGACAGATTACAGCCGGTCAGAAATTAACTAGAGTTAAAAAAAAAAACTCAGTTATAACATCAACCTCCATCAAATACCAAAATTTTATAAGGAAGTAAAAAGAAAAACCATCCATTCCTGGAGACTTATCAGCACCACAATCCCATACAGCCCTTTTAATTTCATTAGGAGTAACCAGGCCATCTAAAATCTCAGACTGTCGGATCGAAATTGTCTTCTTGAACACCTGGGATATAGAAGGTTGAGAAGGGGTGGGATAGGTAAATCGTGACCGGAAATGATCTAAAAACTCACATTTGACATTGTTACGCTCATCAACCCATTCACCATCAATAAGAATACCCAAAATATCCAAATGCTTGCGTTTCTTATTAAGGACTCCATGGAAAAATTTTGAGTTATCGTCACCCTCAATAGCCCACTTAAGTTTTTCCTTTTGCGTTAAGTCCTCATTCTCAATTCAAAGCACATTACCAAGTTTTTTTTTATAATAGAAGTCCTCTTAGTAGCCATGGAAGGATTATCTTCACCTCTATCAATAGCAAAATCCAAAGTAGCCAAGGAATGAAGCATGTTGGTTTTACTACCATCCCGACTCTAACTCAAGTGTTTAATCCAACCCTTGATATTAACTTTAAGACAGTGAAGGTTCTTTTAAAGCTTCACCATCCCATTCGCCAACACAACCCCATCATTTTTCCAAGAATCCTCCATAATTTTAGAAAAGCCATCTAAAGAGAACCAAGAGCGTAACACTTCAAAAGAAGAAGGATCATAGTCAAGAATCACTTCTATAAGCAAAATGGGGTGATGATCAGATAAATGTTGGTCAAGGATCATGTCTGAAAGGTGTGGTTATAACTCTACAAGAACCTCTGATATTACAAAAAAAACTGTTAATTTTACTATCTAGAAGACGATTTGTGAGTCCAAGTAAAAGAGTAACCACCAAGAGGAATTATTAAAGAGACCCGCATTTGCAATAAACTCATTTAACAATATTGCTTTGTTAGGATAAAATACAAAACCATATCTTTTAGATTCATCCCTTACCTTATTAAAGCCACCCATTAAGATCACTTCCCCATGCCAAAAATCAATAAAACCACCAAGGCGAGCCCAAAGAGATTTTTTCTCATTCCAATCATGTGGAGCATAAACCAAAACAACAAGCAGATTTGTATTTATAGGGAGCCAAATACCTTCGGCTATAGAAAAATAATCATCTAAAATAGAATTAGTTTTTGAGAAAAGATTACTTTCCTAAAAAGAATAATCCCTCCTGAAAGACCTTTGGATAAAGAAATCTGAAAATCAAAATGCAAATTACCCCAAACCGAACAAGCAAATTGTAAGTCCAACCGCCTCATCTTTTTCTCTTAAAGAGCCAAAAAGTAACCTGATGTTTGATACACATATTCTTCACTCATGATTGTTTCCATTCCTTTCTCAATCCTTAAATATTCAAAGAAAGATAGTTCATGAAAACCTATTCACACTTCCATGATTATTTATAATTTCATGAATATTTTGTATACATCCCTCCATAGAACACCCCATTATGACCAAATTCAATGAAAGCATTTAATTCGTTAATCAAAGTGAACGATTGAGGTTTTTTTTAGTAATCTTAATGAACCACCAAAAGAGGATTGAGATTCACCATACCCTTCTTTAACTTGTTTGGAAACTGAAGAGCTTTATTTATTTGCTGCACACTGATTTTTAACAAAAGAAGCAGGTCTCGATAATTCCTTCCTTAACTGATCATCTTCCAATGGAGCAGAATGTGGGCTAAAAGAGTTACATTCTCCAATAAAATATGGGGACCGAAAATGTGGAACACTAGCTGATTTCCTAGTTTGTAATGAGGCAGCTTCCTACTGTTGAGACAACTACTATCGAGAACAAGGAGGCAGCTGAGAAATCAAAATTTCCTAGTGAGATTCAAAATGTTGTTGATGTAATCTTTCATGTGAACGAGTAGAAGCATCGGGCTCTTTTTGAGCATTAGGCTGAGATGAAAGATAAGCAAAAATTTGAGAATTTTCAGGTGTAAAACCAAGGGGATGGGTTGGATCTTTATCACTCGCATTGTGACAACCTTGTTTATCCTTTTTTTAGATATTGAAAATATCAAACAGTCTTCTAATTTTTTATTATTATCATTTATTCCAGGTTTTCAACCATCTTTTTTGTTAACAAATTCATCGCCTTCTTGAGAACCAACATCTTCATCCCATGAATACATATAAACTGAATTACCAATTTCCCCGTCTTCATAATCTTCTTTTGACTTAACAAAATCTCCATTTTCTTCGTCTATAAGTTTAAAGTCATCCTCAACAAAAATCCGGGATCCAACCTATGATTTCTTTAGGTCTCACATGATAGACCTTCCCAAGAATGATAATTTTAAAGTTCACCATACTCAGCTTCTGAATTGACGTAGAGATATGTGACCGCTTACTATATAGGTTATCTTCAAAAGATTTATCCATATACAAAATGTTCCCCATTTCATTGTAATCTTGGAATAGGTTTTGTAAGTACGTGTGATTATCAGCACGCCTTAAACAGCAACCCAAACCACCATTTCATTCAAGATAAAGTTATTAGACCAAGGATGTAACTTAGAGAACGTTGAGCGTGCTCTAATATGTTTATGAAACTGCTCCATAGTTTTGACTGATTCAAATTCAAAGGATACCCATTTTCCCCCTACATAAGCAAATTTGATATCACTAAACCTTTGTTATTACAAATAATTCGAAGATTAGTTAGGGATTGAAATTCTTTCACCTCCCCCATCAGAACTAAAGAATGTGACGTATCAGAAATGCAACTATCATTCAGGACCATGACCGGATCATCATCAGTCTTGGTATT